CGCAGAACCTACATGCCTCATGGTGCTGTGTTTCTGTTCTGATGTGGCCATCCAGAAAGCTGTATCTAAATTATATAGAGTCAGTCCATCCTCAGGAGTTGCTGAGATTTAAAACTGGAAGATGGAGAAAGGATTGTTCATTGCATACTGAAAGAGAAGCTCCACTTATAGAAGAAACACTCATTAGAGGCTGTTGGAGAACCCTCCCTCAAAGGACTTAGTGCCAAACTATATATGGATTTCAGTCACATATAAAATTGGAATCAAAGATGTTTAAATATAATATTCTCTTCCATCGACAAATGATAGTAAATGTGAAACTATAAGAAGCTGAAAGCCAAGTATAACCAATTTTAAGCTTATTGGGGCCTCCCTGGTGGTGTGGAGGTTAAGTCTCAGTGCTATCAAGCTATCTCCAGCCACTGCAGCTGGAGTTCCATCCCCGGCCAGGGAGCTGACCCACAGGGCCCAGCAGACCTCTCCTGTCTCACCCGCTGCTCCCCTCAGCAGTGTGTTTCCTCGATCTGCCTGTCCTGCTCCCCACTCTGCCTCTGGTGAGTCCTCTCATACCCCACAGCTCTGGCACAGACCCCAGTTCTTCTGTACAAAATAAATAAAATCTTCATTAAAAAACTGAAGTCCCATTCCTGGAAGGAACTATCAGGTTTGTATAATAAATACAACCTACTCATTTGTATTCATGGCATGTTAAAATACAATCACAACCTGAGAATTGTAATACATCACATCATTGCAGAAGCATGAAGACTTCCAGTTGAAAACAAAAGCAAATATTGAGAAAAAGTGATGATAATTACCGCAAGTCTGAATAACGTATGCTTGTGTACTAAAAGTGCCACAAAACACAGGGAGAAAATTCTTGGTTTTTACTTTAATAAGATTTTCATTTTAAGAAAAATGTATTTCTTGATAACAGATTATCATCACCCTATCTCTTCACACTGCTGTCCTAATATTTATAGACTGCTATAATAGAAAGGAATACATTCAGTCAGAATTTTACTTAATTAGAAGCACATAACTTTGTTAGTTTGTAATTATACATATCTGCCAAGAACAAAAATGAAAATTCCCATGCAAACCCTTCCCCAAATTCATCTTGATGAAGTATCTTTGAGCATCTATGAATGTGCCCAAGTTTGAATGATCATAGACCGAGGGATCTTATTTATTTAGTTCCTCATTTCAACATCACAGCTTTTAAACTTGCCACAATCATTAATAAAATAATTTTGGGAAATAACCCATTTCCAAAAATGACTATAAAATATAGATAAAAATATTTCTTTCCAAATAAGAAGTCTTTTATATTATCGTAAATGAATGGTTTCTTTTATTAGTTGCTTAAAAACTTTAATGATGGATTGCAGTAGCAAGACATTATCACAGAATTTAGAATGAACGGTTTATCATTCTATTTAAAACTCATAAAAACTGGGGCCCTCCCTGGTGGCGCAGCGGGTTAAAGCACAGCACTAAGAAGCTGAAGCCACTTCAGCATGAGTTCGATTCCCGCCTGCCCCGGAGGTGACCACATGGCGCAGCAGACCTCTCCTGACCCTCCTGCTGCTCCCCTCAGCAGTGCACTTCGTCAGCCGGCCTGCTCTTGCATGTAAATGCTGCAAGAATATAGAAAGGAACAATGCATGTGGACCTTAGATCCATGCCAGGCCCAGATGCCCGCTGCACCAGGTGTGCCGCGTACCTCACAAAAGGCCCTGGGTTGTGAGGTTGTGCCAGAAATCGTTAATTTGAGGTTGTGCCAGAAATCGTTAATTTTTTTTAAAGATTTTATTTACTTATTCATACAGAACTGGGATACAGGCCAGAAATGCGGAGGGTGAGAGGATTCACCAGGGACAGAGTGGGGAGCAGAATAGGCAGATCGACGAAGTACACTGCTGAGGGGAGCAGCGGGCGGGTCAGGAGAGGTCTGCCGCGCCATGTGGTCACCTCCGGGGCAGGCGGGGATCGAACTCATGCGAACTCATGCGGAAGTTGCCTAAGCTTCTTAGTGCTGTGCTTTAACCCGCTGCGCCACCAGGGAGGGCCAGAAATTGTTATTTTAGTTTTGGTTCCCCTGTGATGAATTTACTACCTTTTTTTTTTTTTAAGATTTATTTATGCATACATAACTGGGAAGTAGACCAGAGGTACAGGGGGTGAGAAGATTCACCAGAGAGAGAGTGGGGAGCAAATCTACTGAACTACATGGCTGAGGGGAGCCACAGGGAGACAGGAGAGGTCTGCTGCACCCTGTGGGTCACTCCCTGGCTGGGGACCCAGCTCCAGCGGAAGCTGCTGCAGCTAGTTTGGGAATCCTAGACCTTAACCCCTTGTGCCACCAGGAAGGGCCCTGAATTTACCATTCTAACAAAACAAGAAAAAAACAAGAGACTCCACTATCGTCATTAAGCACCTCCAAGTTTGCTCAAAACTGTTGGTGAGACTTTCTGGTTTGTTAAATTCTGGGAATGAGCATATGCCTGAGTGTCACCGGCGGTGAGGCATGAAACCACAGGAAACAAGCTGAGAAATGCCGGCTTCCCCAGCTCAGCTACAGGATCTGGAGAAGTGAGACCGGACCTCAGACTTCGCCCTGCCAGGGGCAGGGAAGCAGAGGAGGCTGGAGGTTGGCACCGGCAGGGGTGCTGGACGCCAACTCTCTGGCAGCATCTGTGAAAGGACAGGTCCCTGCTTCCCAGGAGGCCAGAGGCGGTGTCCAGAAGAGGCTCACACTTTGTCAAAGGCAGTACTTGGATGTCTGGATGGGAAGTAGCAGGAGGGAGGCCACAGACCGAACAGAAAAAGAGGCCAGAGGATGCATACTGGGGCCTCCCTGGTGGCGCAGGGGTTAAAATCTCAGCATTGAGAAGCCATCACCAGCCTCTGCAGCATGAGTTCAGCCTGGCCAGAGTTGATCTGCTTAGCAGACCTCTCTGACCTGCCCGCTGCTCCCCTCAGCAGTGTATTTCAGTTAACCCACCTGTTCTGCTCCCCACCCTGCCTCTGGTGATTCCTCTCATGCCTGCACCTCTGGCCTGCACCTTAGTTCTTGTATGCATAAATAAAATTTTAAGAAATGTCTGATTAAAAAACAAGGAGGAGGCACACTGGCTAGCCCAAGAGCTAGTTATCACATAAGTCTGAAAAGAACATAAAACCAGGCTAACATAATGGTGAAACAAATCTGTAAATGAATAGGGCATACAGTCCTCCTCAAGGCCCTCTGTATCCTGTACCCCACGGAACACGTTCAGATTTCCCCTTCTTTTCAAGTATCCCATACATATAAATATTCCACCTTGAACATACAAATATACTCAACTTCTACGTAAAAATAAATATTAAAAAAATTTTTGCAACACTGTTAAAGAGTACTAGGAGCCGAAGGAAATGGGCATTCTCACAGGAAGTGGGCATTCTCACACACTCTTAGTATATTCAAACGTGGACTGGAATTTATCGTAAAAAGAAAAAGCACCCAAGTATTAAGAGGCATGTTTTCCAGGAATTTCACAGGAGCCTCTTTCTAGAACAATAGACAATTGGAAACTACCTAACTACCTAAATGACCATCAAGAGGCTATTGAGTGATCTGAATTTTAATTCATAAATAATTGACAGTGTTAACAAGAAAACAGTTGGTCTTTCAAGGGAACATGAGCCTCGGTATCTACTGATGTCAGAGATCTGCTGAGGGGAACAGAAGCTAACAGAAAAGGACCCAGAACGCCACTTATTTGAAATGTAGGGTCTTTGCACAAGGAACCATAATCAATGTGAGTGATGATTACCTTGGGACTCCTCGGTTTAAGGTGATTTTTACTTTTATTACATTTGCTAAGAGCTCTCACGCTTACTATTAGCCTGCCCCCACGCCCCCCCTTTTTTTTTTTTTGTTAGCATGAAACAAGTCATTTTCTTTTCATTTTGTAAAGAATAACCATGATCACTGGAGGATAGTTCCAGAGCTGGAGGCCAACTGGCACCACCGGGGTCTGGAAAGTGAGCTCAGGAAGGCACGCACCGTCTTTGCTGGGGCAGGTAGATGGAGCCACCAGGCCAGGGACTTGCCTGCGGTGGTGACAGTGAGAGAGGCTGCAGGAGAGACCTGGCCTTCTCCCTCAATCGGTCCGCTTTGCTCTTCTGTCTTTGCCAGACTGTGAACAGCTCACGTCCTGGGAAGGTATTTTCACTTCTCGCACCCCAAAGCTTTGCGCAGACTCACAGCGAGCAGCCCACTGGGACAGTGGGGCTCCTGAGCCCTCTTGCTGTTTGCTTCTCCCCATGAGAGAGGCGTTGGGGACTGTGGGGGGGAGGAGGGGGAGCTGTGACGCCTCACGCCCTGCAGCTCCCAGCCTCTACTGGCTCCAGACTACTGACCTATCATCTGAGCTGAATTTACTTTTAAAAATACGTTATTTTTTGGCTTCTGTTTATCAACATTTATGAAATTAATTTTATTGTAATGTAGCTATAAAGGACTTTGTTTGCTATGATTAGTGTGTGTGCGCAAAGCGATTACAGTGTAGGAATGGCCACAGTATCTGACACAACCTCATGCCAGTGTGGGTAGCTGTAGGACGTCCTTTTAGTGTCCTGTGGTCCTGGTTACTTTCTACAGAGCACCTGCGGGGAAGGCCCTCCTCAGATAAGATTCTTTCTTTTCCCAAAAGAAGGGGACAAACACACAAGTATCCAGAAACACCCTCCCTTTGAAAGGACTTGTTTGTTCAGAAGAAATGTCTGAAATGCTTCATCGAGATGCAGGGAAGCGATGTGCAGTAACTGCTCTTGACTCTCTCCAGTGACCCAATCACTTCTTCCCCAGAGCAATGCTAGCAAAAGTCAAACACAGAGGACAGCTAAGTCAGTAAGACTGCCAATATTATGAGGAGTTCGAGGGAGTAGTGTGTGCACTGAACGATGTATAGGTTCAAGCTATGTGAACACGGAGCTCTGTGCAGTCTCCTTACCTTGGCCAGGTGAGAGTTGATCCATTTTGTGAAGGTGCGTTTTTGTACAATCTCTTGCTCATCTAAAAGAAGAAGAAGAAAAAATACATACATATATATATATATGTGTGTGTGTGTGTGTGTGTGGTTAGATGATACAGCCCATCATTTAACACCTCTAGAGTAATCATAAAATGATTTCATCCTCTAGTTCATAGTTGCATAGGGAGAGACTATGCAACTCCATGTGTATTAAGCAATTTGGCTATTCCTTTAGTTAGGACAGAATTCCATTAGGGAGCCAGGCAGCACCAGGAGAGCAGAAGGGAAGATCTTTATTTACCCTGGCAGGCCCAGAGATCTTTCTCCAAAGCCTGAGCCCAGAGCAACCAGGTAACAGTGTTCATTGCCTCTGCAGGGTCCAAGCAGGCAGTACAAAAGCAGGAGACTCCCGAGCAGCTCTCTAGGGGCCTCAGTCCTGTGTGTGGCCTTGAGAACACTTCATTTACTCCCTCCAACTTTTAGTCTAATTGAGGCTTTGTCTCAGCATAATTGCAGCTAATTAATACCTGACATTCTCCACTTCACTATAACCATCACAGCAAATGCTTTAAAATTTGCAACTTGTCAGTCCTATGTTTACCTTTCTTTGCTTATCACATGTTCACTGGATATATACACCTCAAGGAAGATATTTTAAGAGAAAGTTTGCAGGTCCTCCCTGTTGTCACAGTGGATTAAAGCACAGCATGTGAAGCTATCTGCAGCCTGTGCAGCATGAGTTCGATCCCTGGCAGGGAGCTGACCCACATGGCGTGGCAGACCGCTCCTGTCCCACCTGCTGCCCCCCTCAGAAGTGTGTTTCAGTAGATCTGTCTGTTCTGAGCCCCACTCTGTCTCTGGGGAATCCTCTCGCATTCCCCACCCCCCACAGCTCTGGCCTGTATTCCAGTTCATGTATGCATAAATAAGTAAATCTTTTTAAAAATAATAAAAGTAAATAAATGAATGAACATTTGCAAGCAAGTATGCACTGAAGGCCAGGTGCAGGTACAAAGGGACACTGAGAGATGAGCAGGGCAAGGCTTCCTTCCCAAAACATCTAGAGGTTGAGACAGACAAGCCAGGGCACAGGGACTGCAGAGTGTTACCCAGTCATGTGACAAGATGGCGCTGTGTCCTGAGGCTTTACCAGGACCTTGCCTGGATGGGGTGATGACGAATACTGACCTCCATGACTGCACCCCCAGGGCTCATACCTGGGTGTGGACAGGCTGTAGGCACAACCTCGGAATTGCTCCTAGTCAATCAAATATGGCAAAGTAATGAGCGCCACACTCAGGAACGTGCTACAGTGCAATAGTCACCCGGCTAAAGAGCAAGATTCTCCCTCTTGCTTTGAAGAAGCCAACAGCCAAGACTTAACCCTCCCTGGAGGGAGCCTGCTGCCAGGAAACTGCCTCTGAGAGGTAGCAGGGGAGGGTCTCCAGTCCAGACAGCGGGAATTGGGGCCTCATTTTATAGCCACGGGGAAGTGAGCCTGCTGAGGAGCTGAGTGTTCTGAAGCTGCCCTTCCTCCTTCACCCTCTGAGGGAGAACGCAGTGCAGCAGACACTTGTTGGTGTAGGCTTCACACTGTGAAGAACAGGCTGACCAAGACATTTCAGTACCTTTGGTCTTGAAGCATGATGCTCAGAAAAAGTAACTGGAGTTTTCTAAAACAAGAACTTCTAGCTAAAGTCTGACGTCATCTCAGAGCAGTAGTTTTATCTCAAAAACTGACCTCTGCTGGCATCAGCTCAGAAAAATTGTCAACTAGACCACAAACTCCATGAAGGCAGCAAGTTCTCCCTGGGGCCTTTAATTGAGAAAAATAAGTGCTACTACATGAAGAAGATAAACAACAAAGCCCTTTAATTTGGAGAAATTTGGAGTATAAACATCATGTTTTACAGAATGTCATTATTTTATTATAAACACACACTTCTATTTTAACTTTCAAGTACATATTCTAAATAGACTAAGAGGCAACACTTCCCATGTAACCAGCACTATCTCTGTCTGTTTCTGTCTGTCTATCGATCACATCATATCTTAAGTAATTAATAGCATATGTGATATATATGTACTAGTTTAATTTTTGTAACCAATCTATCAATGGATGTCTGCATATATAGATAAGAAAAAGAAAGCACAGAGAATTAAATTACTTTTATGGGTACCAATGTTGCCTAGTTATATGTTCCAGAAGTCTGATTTCTACCCTACTTTACTATGCCCAAGAATGGCATAGAAATTACTAAATTAGTCATATCAAATATCGATCACATCAAAATTAATAAATCCATACGTAAGTCAATTTGAGTTGACTTTAAAATATTGAGGTTCTACAAGTCATGTAGTAGCCAAATGATCTTAATTAATCAAGCTACATTTGATGGAATTCAGAAACTTCTCTGTAGTACATAAAATCCAGTTCTAACTGGAATAGACTATAGAGTTAGAGCATGTATAAAATTTTAACTCCTTTTGAGATATGCTATTTCATAAATATCAAGATATGACAATGTTTTAAAATCTTGAAATAATTTGCATAATGTTTGTGCATACCGTCATAAATTTAGGTACACAGTATATACTAAAATGTATTATTTCATGATTTTACATAGTTTTAAGGCTTTGCTACACCATTAATGAAATAATACTGCTATTGTGACACTTTTATGTGATGGTAAATCTCTGCACTTATATTTAGATTTTGGATAAAAGTCCTTTTTTTAGAATGCTCAAATTATGTTTTTTGTAGAATTCACTGTAGATATCTAAATGTCAGAGTCTCTACATGTTTCTTTTTATGTTGCCTGCAAAAGCATATTTTACTGGGTCACAACAATCTACTTTTTAAAATACCATCAGCTATAGCCAACTGTATTCTTAGTAAATATTTTCTGATTTTACTTAGTATTTCCCAAAAGAAAACTGTTTCTAAAACATCATTATGTGAGCAAATTTTCATTTTTTATATAAAAATTAAATAATTTAGTCCAGGATTTGGTAATTAAATCTGAGACCAATAGCAGAAAATGTTCAAATTGTGGCAGTAATATGAACTATGAAATGAACCATACTGCATTCAAAATCATGAACATAAGGCTTATGCTGTTGATGAGGAACTGACCTAGTATCCATAAAGTTTATAAAATTTCTTTGTACTGTATTTAAAGGAACATTAATCAAATATATTTAATAGTTAATCTTATTAATAATTCTTCTAACTTCAGCTTTTCAGAATAAAAACATGCTGTAGTTTTACCAAGTGTTCATACATATGCATGTGTAGCATTGTTACTAAAATTATAAAATACTCACATTCATTTATACATTTTGCTAAACGTGTATGTCTGGTCTAAACACAGTAAAGTTTGTCTATATCACATAAGTAAACTCAGTTCCCCAGTTCAAAGAATCACAGAGAATAAGAAGTAGATCCTGTTTTTTTTAATTCTATTTCCTGATTTCTATTAAAGCAATCTAAGAGTACTTAGTTCTAGCACTAGGTACCTGGAAGTCACCCTTGGCTCTTATGCTTCCTTATCCCTCACACAAGTCTATAAGGAATTATTGTCAATCTTCCCAAATTTCTCATCTTCAACAATATCAGTCTAATTCAGAATGGCATTATCGTGTGATCCTGTTCATTTCCACCATAGACTCTCATCTCCAGATTAGATAGCAGGGGCTGTGTCTGATTTATCTATTACTGTCTTACTCATCACAGGATGGTGATGTAAAGAAATGAGTGGAAGAACTTGGTAAGGAAGTGTTGGAGACTAAGAAACAGACCAAGTTCTAAGGAACTGTTGGTAGAAGGGAAAAGAAGAGATGGAAACAGCAGTTCAGTGCTGGTGAAAATTTGGGGGTAGAGAAGTTGGTAGGAAAACGCAGCAGATTTTTAAATATCCGGCATGATATAGCAACATGACACTGAAACATTACTACAGTTGAACTACAGCAGCAAGGGGTTACAAAGGGACTGCAGATGGGCTGGACCGTAGGAAAAAGGCAGATTGTCAAAATCTTTGCATAACAGGTCAAGGAGTGAGTCTTAATCTTGTGGACCATGGGAATCCATCAGTGGCTTCAGACAGGACAGCATGATGAAATCGGACTTGAGACAGAGAAGTATCTATTCTGATGACAGCATGAGGTTTAAATGAAGGGAGAGGAGGCTGAGGACAAGGGGGATTTGGAAAGTCACTACCAGAACACATTCAAAGAGGATGACATCCATTCTAGGGTATTGCCATTGAGGAGGAGGTGCAGAAGATGCTGCAAGGGTACCATCAAGTGCGATTGAAAGGAAGTAGAGACAGGAGCTAAGAGTGTTTTCTAGCTTGGTATCATGGACAACTGGATGTCAATGCCACAAACCAGACAGAGAAAGGATAAGCAGACTCAACAGGGAGGGATATGCGATCAGGCCCATTGCAAATGCATTGCGTGTGCCATCTGGATAAGAAGACAAAGCCACAGAGGTGGGGCTCAGGAAGCCAGGCCAAAAGGTGGGTGCTCCGTGCAGGGGACCCTGATGTAAGGCCATGTTTCAGGGGACTGGAAACCACTAGGCAGAAGGTGCTCAAACTGCCCTCTTCTCCGGTAGCTTGAATCTTGGTTCCTTCTAAAGGCCAGATTGTGTTGGTAGGTGGAAACCCATAATGAAAGCTCACTGGATCCTTCACCTTTGGAGCTCCCATCATTACTCCTGGTTCAACAGTAGAAGATCCTAAAAACTCAAGAGTCTGAGGCTGCTGTCCACCAAGAGCTGTCTATATAAGAAGGCCAGTGTATCTGCATAGCCCTGAATAATGCCGTTAGCAGAGATAGACCCCAGAGTCCAAAGCAATATCCTTCTGTAGAAGGGAGGGGCAAGAACCAAAGATAGCTCTGACATTTCTCATCTGTATTTCTTTGCGCTTTTTATGTTTCTCTGTATTTTGCCATTTTAAGACAAGTTCATGACATATGCAAACATGAGGCCCCACTTGGCAAGGGTGATTAAATCTGCTCACTGGGACCCCCTGTG